CACTCACTCACTCACACTCACGCACTCACTCGCACGCACACACTCACACAAAAAATATTTTTCCAAGATAATTAACATCCTTCACCTCAGCGCCTGTCGTCTATATTGACCCATATTCCTTCTTAAAGCAAGCCTGTTTGTATTTCCAAAATATTTTTTACTAATGAATAATGAATGTTTTAATAACATTTTAGTACTTTATTGCTTAATATTTTTAGCACTTAAATCTGTTTGCATGCATTTCGATGATGTATCGTTTCAATGCATTCGCTGAGAAAGCGCTTTCAGTTCATTTGTACTTCCAATAGATGGCGCTAGAAGTGTGTCGGACTCGGTTTGCATTCCAATAAAGTTTGCCACCAAAACCTGTACAGTATACCAAGATGGAAATCTGTGTAGTCGTGGAAAAGATGCTATATCTTTAAATATGTTGTTGTTCTAGATGTTTGACTGTGCTTCTGTGTTGGAGATTAAACACTAAACCAGCAGCCGGACTGGTTTATGTCAGTGTCTGAGGTTTATATTTGGGGAAACGCTTGCATCAAAATTACTTCAAATAATAAATGTTGCATGATACATTAACCTCACCGATGGGAAGATTATCAGTGATGGAGTGAATCGAATTGATTTACTCTTCAAACATTACAAGACACAGATGGCAGTGAAGAAAATTGATTGAGCTTTCATACTGAAGTACTACTGCAAGTTCAATATTATGCTCGTCTTATCATGCGTTTATTTTTGGGAGGTGATCTGTCCTGGTGGAATTCATGCTGGTTGTCTGGCTGGATATATCAGTGAAGACTCTGGCACGCATGCATGTGTGTTTACACGGCTACAGCACCTGGCCAGGATCACCATTTATGTGGAGTAAAGTTTGACATAGAAATGATTTACATTCCAGATTGCATTTAAAGGAGTAGTTCAGCCAACGTGAAAATGTGCTCACCCTGCACCCTAAACGCTGCTTGATCTGTGCAGATTTCTCTCCTGATTCACACCAGAAAACTGTTTCACTGGAGGAAGAGTTATTATGGATTATAGACTCTATGGTATTTTAGTTAAAATCGTCTTAATGCTGGATTTGTTTCAGCTTTTGTCTTCTCCAGATGTTAACTGATGGACTGGAGTGCTGTGGATTACTTGTGGATTATTGTGATGTTTTTATCAGCTGTTTGGACTCTCATTCTGACGGCACCCATTCACTGCAGAGCATCCATTGCTGAGACACTGATGCAATGCTACATTTCTACAAACCTGATGAAGAAACAAACTCATCCTGATCTCAGATGAACTGAGGCTGAGCACGTTTACAGCTAATCTTCATTTTTGGATGAACTTTAAATGAGGTCAGCTTCAGTTATACACACGGTTAATAAGACAAATAAGGATCTTTTAGAATTAAAGTCCACATTCACTTTAAAATTAAATCATGATATAAAATTCTGGAAGAAAAATAGAAATGCATTGAATGGATATACATTAAGTATAAATATTATTCCCTAGCTCAGTAGTGGCATGTTTGCATTAGTTTTGTATTTATTGATGCCAACTACATAAATGGTACAAATGATAAACCCTGTTTAGATAAACATTAAATTTAATGTCATTTATATTACAGAAAACCTAATAAATGTATGATATTCAGCAGTTAATCTTCATTTACATCTTTGTATAACAGGGAGAGACTGAATGATATGCACGTACATCAGTAATGTAGATGCGGTACCTTCAGAAAAAACACTGAAATCCAGTTTAAACATATCGACAATCATTTAGAAAAGGTGTTATTTGATTTGGTATAAAAATAAGCATTGTGTAGAATAATTTCAATACATTCTCTGTAGCTCTCTCACTAGAGTAAATGATTTGGGAAACAATATTGGGCCCAAATAACGCCTGTTGGAGACTTCTGTATATTTGAACAAACACACAGAAAATAAAACATCCTGACATGTGATCGTGTTCCTTTGTTGATGGAGTATGAAGTGATGTAAACCCTGAGTCTGTGACAGCAGTGTGAGACTGTGAGCAGATCTATTCATATCAGTGTAATACCAGATCGTTTTTTCTCTGTAACAGCAAATATGGACCTGTTTATGATGTTGCCTTGAATCAACACTGACCCTCTTTACTTGCCAATCCACGTTTCTGGTCTTACATGATTCATCTGTTATTCCAAAGGATAAACGTGTCATTTCATCAAAATGTAATGAGTTTTTCTGCCTGAATCAGCTTTCCTCTCGACGTTCGTTCTGGTAAGTAACTCCCATTTCCTTTTATAATTCCTAACAGGTACAGTACATTTATTTTCTCTCATTGAATATGATGCTTTTACTCAGAAATAAATCACATTACGTAGTTAAATGTGTTCATTTTGTGATAATTCACCCCCCAAAAAAATAAAATACTGTCATCATTTGCTCACCTTCAAGTAGTATCAAACCTGTGTAAGTTTCTTTCTTCTGTTGAACATAAAATCAGTTGCCGGTAGCCATTTACTTCCATAGTATTTTTTCCATAGTATGGAAGTCAATGGCTACCGTCAACTGTTTAGTTCCTTTTTTTTCTATTCTATGGAAGTCAATGACTACCGTCAACTGTTTGGTTACCAGCATTCTTCAAAATATCTTCTTTTGTGCTCAACAAGAGAAAGAAACTCGTACATGTTTGGAAAATGAAGGTGACGCAAATGATAATTTTTGTGTGAACTGTCCCTTTAAGGGAAGCGAGAGCTTTGATTAGTCACAGAACTGAAATCAGCTGTAATAGTTGATGCAGCAGCATTTACAGTATACTGTATATTAGTACGATTTCACATGTATGAACTCAGTTCAATCAGTGCTGAATCCTAATGGCATGATTGCATCAGTAGATGACAAACACATCTGTTCTCAGATATTCAGTCTTTGCATTTTCCTCTCAAAATTGGCCACTTGTGTGCTACTTTTAGTGGGAAGGGCGTATAAGCTTGGCTCTTTCTCAAGCTTCTGCTCGGTTTGAGTCCTGATCGTTCTCCACTGGTTTAGGCTTCAGAAGGTTTTAGAGAGATCAAACCCTCAGTAGGACGACAGGCTAGAGTCTGATGGAGTCAGATGTCCATGTCCACCGGTCTCAGCTCGCCCGTCTTGTGCTCTCTGACCCACAGCTCTCGGTCTCTGGCGGGGTCGACGCTCCGCAGCAGTTTGTCCAGCGGCTCTATGGTCTGCAGATCAAACAGCAGGCTGTGGTTACTCATCATCTGCAGTTAATGGTGTGAATGAGTGTGAACGAGGCGGTCTGAACTCACACTTTGGTTGAACATGTCCGTCTCGTGTCGTAGTGTGGTGTACTGACACAAGTGCTGCCTGATCATCTCCACACGCTCCACCTCCAGACGCTCCAGCTCCTGTCAGGGACCAGACATGTGAAGATTCTCTGCTTTATTGGAGTTTTTAGGAGAAAATGCTTTTGATTTTTTTAATCACAGTCTCATTGCATCCTTTACTTGCATATCTTTACTTTTCAAGTGTTGAAAAATCCAGAATTGCTCTGTTTTGTGCTCTTCTCCTACATCACACAACTTCATTATTACACAAATGGTAACATTTTACAATAAGGTCCCATTAGTTAATATTAGTTAATATGCTAACAATGAGCAATGCATATTCAGCTTTGTTAATGGTAATTGATAAAACTACAGCTGTTCATTGTTCATGTCAGCTCAGGTCTATTAAATTAACAGATGCAACTTTAATATTGTTTAGTGAACATGATTTAGTAAAGTTTTAAATTAACTAAGATGAATAAATGCTTTAGAGCTTTTTCTCATTGATAGTTCATGTTAACTAATGTATTTAACTAATATTAACAGATGTAACATTGCAAAGTGTTACCATACAATTATAAAAGCTGTTGAAATCTGGAATATTTTACTTGGCACTTTTTCTTTGGAATTTAACATTCATACAGTACATCAGTTCATTTGGTGTTTGTGTGCAATTTTTATTTATTTATTTTTTAACAAAGAATCACTACGTTCAAGAAAACTTCTGTCATTATCATGAGTGTATTACATAACTATTTTTTTCCCAAAATAAAAAAAAAAATTCCAATAAATTTCTACAGTCAAGATTTTCTCAATTTAGAGTTTTGTGAAAAATCTACTTTTTCAAACTCGTCCTAGACGGTTTTTCCAATTTTCTCCAAAATGGTCTCAGATCATCTTCAGACAATGCTGCCAAGAAGTTATCAAAAGATTTCTGATAGACCAAACCATTCTCGTAAAGCACGCTAACGAATTTGACAAAATTCACACAAAAATGGACATGAAGCTATATCTTTACATCGCTTTAGCAGATTCTGACCAAACTTGGTACCTGCTATCCCAAGCATAACCTGAGGGCACATGAGTAGTTTTAGCACAGCTACTGGTCAAAATAAATAAAACATTGACTTTTTTGTTTATAATTTCTGAACATTTTGACCAAAAAAATCATACGATTGACCTTGTTAGATTAGGAGCGACATACAGAATCAAACAATACCCAATTATCCCATGTCAGTCATTTTGCGTGTTGACCATTTAGAATTTTGTTGTGAAATGTTGTATTTTACAAACGCTTTAGCGTATTGTTATGAATATTATAGAACCGGTTGCGGAAAAGTTATGAAATTTGGCACACAAGTAGAGGACAGTCTCATCATTAACCACGGCACATTTGGAGTCTCTAACACAAACTCTCTAGTGCCACCAACAGGCCAAATTCGCACTCAGGTTTCTGCTAATAACTTTTGAACCGTAAAGTCTAAAAGCAAAATTGATTGATTCCTTGGCTCATACCGAGTAGAATGCATACCATAATTTACTTTTTTTTTTGCAATTTTGAATTTTCCGAAAAATCTACTTTTTCGAACTCGTCCAGACGGTTTGTCTGATTTGTCTGAGCATTCTGTCAAAAAAGTTATCAAAAGCTTTTTGATATACCAAATAATTTTCGTAAAGCGTGTTAATGAATTTGATGAAGTTTGTGCAAAAATGGACATGAGGTTATATCTGCGCAATGCTTTAGTGGATTCTGGCCAAACTTGGTATGTGTTATAACAAGCATGACCTGAGGCCACATGAGTAGTTTCAGCACAGCGCCACCTACTGGTCAAAATATATAAAAAATTGACATTTTCTGCTTATAACTTCTGACCTATTTGGTCAAAAATAAGATTTGGTCTCATTAGACAGCATACTGGCATACAAAATTAAACTGTTCTCATAGCCTGGCCTAACTGGTGTTCAGCTGGTTTAGCTGGTCAGCAAGTTGATCTCCTCAGCTAAAAAATGCCCAAACCCTGCTTATAACAACAACCCTGGGTAATTAAAGACAGCTCCTTAGCTCTTCATTTTTCGACACAGCGCCACCTACTGGTCAAAATATGTCTTCATTTTACCTCTGTTCTGCTTGGCCCCAAAATTGCTGCTTGCAGCTATATATATTTATTATTATTATTGTGTGTGTGTGTGTACGTGCATTGGTTTAGAGGTGCTGAGTGGAAAATGTCATTCATTTTAAGATTATAACATCATTATCTGAGAGTAGATTTTTTACTAAGCTTGTATTTGAAGCATCAATTCCAATGGAATCAAATAGTTTTTCTGACTCTTATTGGCGCCCTTATTGGTGTTTGTGAAAGCGCGTTCACTCAGAGAATCTCTCACCAGACTGCTGGTCACCATCTCCTCAAACCACTTGGACTGGGACTGATTGTAGAGGTCAACACATCGCATCAGGTCATCGCCTGAGGACACAGAGCACGAGTTACACATAAACATCATCAGAACTATAGAGCATGGGCTGAGAAGCTTCTCTGTTTGTCAGAAGCAGGAGCACAGACACACACAACGGGAACGGTTATGATTATACCTGGTAAGGTAAATGTAGGATAATCTATACTACTAAATTTGAATTTTTGTTGTTGTTTCCATCCAGACTTCCCAGAGATTTAGTGTTGAACTGATGAATAAAGAGAAGGTGCAGAATGAAGGGAAATAGTTTAGTGGCATCTGTTTCTGATTTTATTTAATTTAGATTTCATTTTTGTCACATGAATGTTAGCCAACAGTGATTTTTGCAGTACCAATACTCCATATTTGTAAATGCATATAGCGGCCGTAATATCAGCATTTGTGTCAGTATTTTCATACCACTGATAAAAGTGCTTAAACATCACATGATTTTCACTATCACTGTAAAACGTTTTAACATTCATAGTTTAGGGATGATATTGATAAACAAAAATAATCATCATCTGCGCACTTTACTCTGTTCATCAGCTCCTCGTTAATAATAATTGATATAATATTTTATTAATCTATCCATATCTCTAAATAACGTGCAATGAATGCATGTGTCTGATTCATGATTCATAACAGATGATGTTCTGCTGTGGCTGCGATTAAAATGCAGTTTATTTGCAAGAAGAAAAAAACATGATACTGTGAAGGAAGCAGAGAGAAGAAGGTAAATACTGCACACAAGAAACATCTATATTCCTGTGGAAACCCCAATGTGTTTTTCAGTTTGCGAACACCTAGATAATTTTACAGTTATATGCAGATTTCTTTCTTTCTGTTTTACTTTTAAAGACCGTTATTTTGCTCTCTGTCAGAAAGTGAGCAGACGAGTGTTGGTTTCAGTTTTCTGAAGAACAAAGTTAATATGTTTAGTAACATGTTCAATGTGTAGTGTTTAGTGAATATCATCTTAAACATTTAAAAACAAGAACAACTTTGCATGTGATGTTCGATGTGTAACAGAACGGATTCATACTAGAATTTCACATTATTATTTTCAAATTCCTCTTTAATAACCATAATTCAACACTAGATGTCAGCACACTCAAACATTGCTGCAGGTTTGCTGGTTATTAAACTCATTGAATGTATGTCTGTGTTCACAATAGAATACTTACTAAACAATGCCAGTTATTTTTTAAAACAGTATGTGACTCAGTAGCCATTATTATCTCTTTTGGTGCTGGTTTACTGTCTGATAGTTGCTCAGGATTGCTCTCGGAGGGTGTCAGAGAAGAAGCTGCACTCACCGGCCTGCGTGGATTTTCTGCGCGCCTTCTTGATGTCCTCCTCGATCTTGCTGTTCAGTTTGATCTCCAGATGCTGGGTTTTTAACTCCAGATCCTTCTGCCGATCGGCGAGCGCTTTCCGTGCCTGATGAAGAACGTGAGAATATGAGAGACGAGACGCCGTGTTTTATTCATGCATCATCTAGAGCTGAAGTGTTCAGAAGCATCTGCTGCTGCGTGTTGAGATCCAGATGCTCCTGAATAAATCAGAGCTGTCATTGTGCAGTGATGTGGATGATTACTGAACTTCAAAGATAGTGTATATATATTTACTTATTCATTTCTGATGATAGTTGAACCCTGGTGATATTGTGTTCTGGTCATTTTGACCTGGAGAGGATTTTCTTAGTTAAGTTATCACATCATCACACCAATTGTGGTGTTCAAAAATGATGGGCTTATGAAAAAAATTGCTTGTAAATCTCCACCAAATCTCAATATTGTTATCAACTTTTTTCTTTAATTTAGCACAGGTTTAGTATTTTATTTTGGAGCTGGTTGATAGTAGACCTCATTGTTTTTGAGTGAATATTGCCGAAATGATATGCCTATAATGATGGAGTATTACATATTTGCATTATGCTCTTTCTTAAAGGGCCAGTGCACCCAAAACTAAAAATGCTGTTATTTACTCACACACACAAACACACACGTCTTTCCAAATTTGCATGTGCGCTTATTCAAACTTTGCATGATGCGATTGATCATGAAACAAGAACAAATGGCATTTGCTGTGACACGAATGCTGACCGTTTGTTTTGAGTGTGCTGTCCCTTTAAAAGAGGGCGACTTGTTTGGTTCTTGTTGCTCTATGAGAAGGTCACTGGTTTGAAGGGCATGAGATTATATATATAAAAACCCGAAGGGCTCAAGAGACGGAAATGTTCCACTTCTTCAGAAAACATGTTGGACTTGCATGAGAAAAATCCGCGTAACTTTAGATGAGGCTAAATATGAAGACTAAATATGGCCACATGACAGAGAGACGAAGCATGTTTTGCAGTCAGTACCTTCTCCACGGCGGCGGATCGGCTCGCCAGCTGCTTCCTGAGATCCGACATGTGATGGTCGAACTTCTTCATGTCCTTCTTGAAGTTTTCCCGAAATATCAGCAGAGGCTTTTCCACCTCACTCTGAAGCTGAACCACGTCAGAGACAGACCGGTAAACACAAAACCTAAAGCCAAAAGTAAAAAAGCCCCTCCTACAGAATGTCTTTTTCTGCCGCAGTATTAGTAATGCATATACGTGTGTGTGTACTGTAAGTCTACTGTACTGACAGTGTGTGTGTGACATCTGCTCTCATGTGTTTGAATGCAGTCCTGCGTTTGCTTCATCTCACCTTGGAGGAGAACTTGAGATGAACTTCTGCTTCATCTGCCAGGCTTTTCTTCAGCTGAGCCCAAGCTGAGCCAAGCGTGCTGAAAGAAGATGATGAGGGGTAAGATGTAATATATAAATTATATAAAAATATTATATCAATTAAATTATGTATATATTTAAATAAAATGTAATAATTTATATATAGTCAATATTCTTCAAATAAATGTAATAAATACATAATAATAAATATTTAACACAATATATAATAAAATATATTTAACAAAATGTAATAAAATTGATATTAAATGTAATAAAATATATAAAATAAAATAATATATATATAATATTATATAAATTAATTTTAATATTTTTATATTTAATAAATTATATAATAAAAATATTTAATAAAATGTAATAAAATATATATTAAATAAAAAATGTTGTTTTTTGTGTGTAACTCTTCTTGCCCTTTTCTTTCTCGTCTAGATGTCTGCGTATGAATGCTGCAGTCATGAGTGTTGAATGCTGAGTGGATCAGCCTCGACTGCCTCATTCCTGAGATGTTTCGGATGTTTAGACCAAGCCGTTCTGAGGCCTTTCCATTCAGACCGACACATCGATTCAAAGGAACACTTTCAATAAAAGACGTGCGTGGAATTGAACTATCTAAACTTTAGCTGAGTCAAATTTACAAGACTGAACATCAGTTTTCTTTCTCACTGTTGCTAAGGCAAGATAATTATGTGTATATATATATATATATATATATATATATATACACACACACACACTACTATTTGAGAGTTTGGGGTCAGTAAGAATTGTAATTGTTAATGAGTTGCTAAGGCAAGATAATTATGTGTATATATATATATATATATATATATATATATATACACACACACACACTACTATTTGAGAGTTTGGGGTCAGTAAGAATTGTAATTGTTAATGAAAGAAGTCTCTTCTGCTCAATAAGGCTGCATTTATTTGTTAAAAAAAAACGTAAAAATTGTGAAATATTATTATAATGTAAAACCGCTGTTTTCTATGTGAATATCTGTTAAACTGTAATGTATTTCTGTGATGCGCAGCTGTATTTTCAGCATCATTCCTCCAGTCTTCAGTGTCACATGATCTTCAGAAATCATTCTAATATGCTGATTATTAGAAACATTTCTGATTATTATCAATGTTGAAAACAGTTGTGCTGCACAATATTTTTCTGGAAACTGTGATGCATTTTATTTTTCAGGATTCACAGATGAATAGAAAGTTCAAAAGAACAGCGTTTATATGAAATAGAAATCTGTTGTAACATTATAAATGTCTTTACTGTCACTTTTGATCAATTTAATGTGTCCTTGATGAATAAAAGTATTAATTTCTTCCAAAAACCCCTAACGTTTGAACAGCAGTGTGTATTGTGTATTCATACAGCACTGATGGCACATGATTCGCTCCAGAGGCCAGTCATGCGATGGCAAAATGCAAAGCCAAAAGGTCACGACCTGCAGTTAGTTCTGCAACAATGATTTCTGCACGGCAGCCTAAATTCAGGAATAAACAAGAGGTTGTGAGCGCAGATGCAGGAGCTGCACAAAAAAACAATGGTGATTACAAGCGACAACACAGCAGGGGCTGAGAGCCAGAAGAATGGCGGGATTGTGCCGTCTGTCTGTGAGCCGGCGCTCGATGACACGCTCCACATTGTACATAAAACAATTAGCCTTCTCTACCAGACTGACACGCTGCTGAAAAAAACACTAGCAGTTGTGCTGATACCGAACACTAAAAGAGCGCAGCAGCTGACGGTGATTTACAAGAAAACATGCACACTTGTTAGTGAGGATGTGTGACGCTTACCGAGAGAGTTCACCTAAACATGAAAACTTGCTGAAATGTGCTCATCCTCAGGTCATCTGAGATGTAGATGAGTTTGTTTCTTCATCGGGTTTGGAGAAATGTAGCATTGCATCAGTGTCTCGCTGCAAGTGAATGGGTGCCGTCAGAATGAGAGTCCAAACAGCCGATAAAAACATCACAATAATCCACAAGTAATCCACAGCACTCCAGTCCATCAGTTAACATCTGGAGAAGACAACAGCTGAAACAAATCCAGTATTAAGACGTTTTTAACTCAAATACCATAGAGTCCATAATGCATAATAACGCTTCCTCCAGTGAAAAAGTGCATCTGCTAACTCATCCTGATCTCGGATGACCTGAAAGTGAGCACATTTTCATTTTTGGGTGAACTGTTCCTTTAAGAACATAATTGAAGAGGTTTCACATCGTCCATCACAATCCATTCACCCATGACTGTAGTCACAAACTCTTTTATAACGCATTATATTCCTCTGAAGGTCACTGCATGAGGTTTTTAAGAGTTTGTAAGGAGATAAGAGTGTATTGTTCCCGTCTGCCACTGTTTTCTGGGTGACGTACCCTTCCTCCTGCACCGCCAGCGGGATCTGCGAGAGCTTCGACAGGTTCTTGGCGTATTCCTCCTCAATCCTGATCCTGTCCACATAAATAAATGAATTAGAGTTGTGCTGGAATGACAGAGCTCATCTGTGGCACATGTAGAGCATGTGAAGAGCTGAGTGCAGATGTCTGTCCTGACTTTCACACACTAAGGTAATTTTCTTCCCAGACTCAAGTCTTTCTCCTCAGGGACAAACACACTTCATGTGAACCCATGTGAACTGTAGCTCATTCAATCGAACAGCGAACATGTTTGAGAGCAGATCTAATGTTGATGGCCAGAAAGAATCAAGCAGCCACTGAATCATTTGTTTTTCTCCTTTCTAAAAACTATTAATGAAACACAGGAAATGAGCTACAGGAAGTTGCATGTGCTGCGTTGTTATGTTTTTATGTTTTTAGTCAAGGCAACAAAGAACAGCCGCTATATCAAGATATTACACAAGTTCACCAACATAGATAATGCAATAGTAACCATAACCATACTTTAGTGACGACACATACAACTAACTAACTAACTACTGTCAGGGTTAGATCCGAGTTGCAACGCTTTCTGGCCAACGAACAACTGTTGTGCTATGAAAGACATTCAGAAACTATAACTAGCCATTTTCACTCCAAAACCTTAGCTAATTATGACTTTAAATCATGCAGTTGAGGCTTTGTCATTCAAGATTGTGATGTAACTTTAAATTTCACAATTATAATTTCAATGTGACTTTATACCTCACAGTGTGATTCTTATTTTAAAATATTTTTTTATTTTATTATGTTTTTATTTGTAGACATACATATGTTTCCATAAAGTATAACTGCTGTACTTGTAAAAAAAAAAAAAAAAAAAAAATATATATATATATATATATTTGTTTAAATTTTTGTTTTATTTATTTATTTGTTGCCAAAACACTATAGTTAGTACAGTTACTATAATAAAACCATGGTAAACTTTTGTAGGGGCACCACTGACCTCAAACAAACAAATAAACAAATACATAAAAACATTTTTCTGTGATGATTTATTATCCACAATTTTTGTCCACTTTTTCCTGAACATTATATCCTCTACGGTGAAAATAAAATGTAAATAAAAAGATAAAAAAAGATTTTTTATAAAACAAAGAATAGGTTTTACAAGAAAAACTATTTCCGTTTTTTATTTTTTACTTCAAAATCCGTGTTTAATTCAATGTGTTGCTTGTCGTGTGTTTGTAACTGTGATATCTGCTATCAACTTCTGAGTGATTTCTCTTTTTTTCTCCAGCAGCTTGTGTTCTGCTCTGGGTCCAGACGTTTACCTCTCCCGCACAAACTCGGCCATCTCTTTCTGCATCTGCCTTCCCTTCAGCTGTTTTTGCAGCAGAACCTCAAATCCTGAGATGATGGTGCTTCCCTGCGGGTCCTTTCTGTCCGCCTGGATCCACAGACAAAACACAAGAGATTCATGTGCACAGAACCAGGATTCGGTGGGATCTTCTCCAATCACAACTACAAGCCAGACCAGATTAGGACAGATGTTTGATGAAACTCATGCTGTTCAGTAGTATAAAGGATATTCAGAGCACGTCACTCGCATGCATTTCTAAACGTTGCGGTTTGTCAGTGGTTGGAGATGTTCTTGCTTACCCAGAAATAATCGCAGTAGCTCCACTCGTCTGGTTTGAGCAGCTGCTGTTCAGACATGTGCAGTGGAAGAGGAAACGTCACGCTGTTGATCTGCAGAGGGAAAGAAATCATCCAGAGACATCGGCTCGAACGAGAAACTGACAACACTGTAAAAGTGACGCCAGCAGAACATGCTCTGAACCAGCTTATTACAGTCAGTGCTGCCAATCACTAATGCATTGCCAGTAAATGATGAGCAAGTATAATAAATTAGACAAATAAAAGAGCAGTCATTAATTCTAAACCATACACATAAATAAACGCAATCATCCATGCTCAAATGTAAAGAGTTCACTCAGTATAATTGGGTAGTTAGCTACTTGACTTTGATTGACTGTTTGTACTGAATCACTCCAATTGTTTGTGTTTGTTATAGACGGACTGCCAGTTTGTGAGCGACTCTTTTCTGCCGTTACATTGAGACACCAGTAGGTGGCGAGTCATTGAATCATTAATTCAACCAATTCGTTCAACGACACTGATTCATTCAGACTTTACGAGTGAGTCACTGAATCATTAATTTGAAATGATTCATTCAAAACACTGATTTATTCGGGAACGGAACAGGCGACTGGCTTTATGAGTGAGTCATCGAAATGTTCATTTGAACTGATTCGTTCAAAACTGATTAATTCATGAACAAAACATTTGAGTAGCTTTATGAGTGAGTAATCGAATCGTTCATTTGAACTGATTGGATAAGAACGATTCACTGCTACTGTTCGTCAGACATCAGTGGTTCAACCGCAATTATACGAAGCTACGAGAATAATTTTTGTGCACAAATGAAAAAAAAAAAAAATTACGACTTTATTCAACAATTCGTCTCCTCCACATCACCCTGGTGCCATTTTGGAGAATATCAGCTGGACGTAACAAGCGTATGCTTGGGACTTGGGAACATTTCAGTTGCGTTGCTGTCTATGAAGAGTCAGACAGCTCTCAGATTCCATCAAAAATATCTTCATTTGTGTTCCGAAGATGAACGAAGGGGTTGTAATTAATGACAGCATTTTCATTTTTGGGTGAACTAACCCTTTAACTGAGAGAAACGTTCATGGATCGAAGGAGAGTGTTTGTTTTTACTTTGCAAGAGTTTGGCAGAAACGCGATGCATTCACTCAGTGAGTGTAACCGGTTTTTACTGCTGCTTGATGCAACATGCTTACTGTATATGAACACCGCAAATAAGTTATTAGAGGTGCAACAGCGCGTTGATATATGTGACCCTGGAGCACAAAACCAGTCATAACGGTCAATTTTTCGAAATTGAGATTCATATCAGCTGAATAAATAATCTTTCCATTGATGTATGGTTTGTTAGATTCGGACAATATTTGGCTGAGATACAACTATTTGAAAATCTGGAATCTGAGGGTGCAAAAAAATCTAAATATTGAGAAAATCATCTTTAAAGTTGTTCAAATTAAGTTCTTAGCAATGCATATTACTAATCAAAAAATAAGTTTTGATATATTTACGGTAGTAAATTTACAAAATATCTTCATGGAACATGATCTTTACTTAATATCCTAATGATTTTTGGCATAAAAGAAAAATGTATAATTTTGACCCATACAATGTATTGTTGGCTATTGCTACAAATATACCCCAGCGACTTAACACTGCTTTTGTGCTCCAGGGTCACATATATATTTTCCATGCAGAGTGCAAGTGCAAATGGCTATGCATTTATTTGTGTTTTTAACTCAATGGGAGAGAATTGAATCTGTCTGAAACTGAAGTTGTGTGTGTTGTCTCTGTCTCCCGTCTTCATCAGGATCATCGCCTACTTTTGTAGCATTTTTCAAAACTGTGTTGAGAACTGAGCGGTGCTGAAACACGGGGTTTCATGAGCCTTTAAATGTATAAATCCTTTGTAAGTCCCCTGCATCCGCTGTGATGAACTCGCCGTCCACCAGAGGAAAGTGTGATGCGGACTCTGAGGAAATTCCCTTCGGTCTGAATGAGCTCATAACGCTCCCCGTGTTGCCTAATGTTTGAATCTGCATCACAGCAAATGAGGAAATGTCCTGTCTCACTTCTGGTTTGTCTGCAGCTGGATTTTTCTGGATAAAGCGTGTGCATTGACTGGTTGCACAAGCATCGTAAGTTCCTCCGGATCCAGATTCTCAGAGGCGTATAATGCCGCTGTGCTGAAGCTGGATAATGTGAGGAGGAGAACGAGTCTCCATGTGTTTGCATTGGCTCTGATGAAGATAATCAAGTGTGGCACGCTGGACTAATGAACAGTCTGCGTCACTGTCAGCATGATGGGAACTATCTGATGTCCATGTCAGCAAACATCCCAGTAATTCAAGTACTTCTTATTGCATGCTATTAACAGAAATGTATCAGTAAGCAGTTTATTTACACAGTGATGTTTTGGTCCGTTTGCCCTTTTCATTTCATTGCATCTACAGGCATGAGTCAAAGATCAGAAAGCATCAGAAAAAATAAAAGTGTAATACAGCTTTAAATTTAGTTTTTTCCCCCATACATTAGAATGTGTCCTGTTTAACTTTTATCCATGATTTACAGAAGATGAATGATTTTTACACCAATAAATCTTAAGCATATTTTAAACAAGAATCATTTGATGACAAATTAAATGCTATATTTAAGGATTGCAGTGAGGCCCTCAGATACCAGTTAACTTTCATTTTTAAATCTTTATACTTTGCTAACCACTAGGTTTTACCCATTTGTCAGCAAGAAGTGTTTGTAAGGAAGTGAAAATCTCAGAAGCCAAGCTAATTCAAATTCAAAATGACTGAAGGAGTAACAGCAGTAGACTATTATTAACTAGGATGTAAATGTTCTGTTAAAACAACGAACAGCAGCTTTCAGCCTGATGTCGCCAACATGAAATATCAGACATACACTAGAAGTTCTTGACAGGTTTTTATTCGATTGCTGCTTTTCCCGTTTTTCTGTGTAAACATGGACGCGTTTGACTTGCGCTCGCGTCTCTTGCAGCGTCTCATGCATGAAACGGTTTTCTAAAAACACGGTGATCATAATCAAATATTTCAGAGCAATAAACGCGGTCTTCATCTGATGATGTGACGGACTACAGACATACACTAGAAGTTGTTGTCAGGTTTTTATTCGCTTGCTGCTTTTCCCCTGTTTTTCTGTGTAAACATGGACGCGTTTGACTTGCGCTCGCGTCTCTTGCAGCGTTTTTCTAAAAACACGGTGATCATAATCAAATATTTCAGAGCAATAAACGCGGTCTTCATCTGATGATGTGACGGACTATCAGTTGTTATATGATCTCAGAAAGGCTTCTTGTTCCTGTTACACTGAACGATCTCTGATAAACTGCATTTCCGGGACTAAAGTCTCCTGGTTATTTAAATACTTAAAAAAAACACACACTAAGACATAGTCCTTTTAATGAAACACAGCCAACGCTTATTTGAAAATGTCAAGAAAATAAATATATTTTTTAACTTGGTATTTTATGCTTATTTAAAGATGTAATGGTAAAATCAAAGTCCGGACCATTACGCTGAATGACAATGTTACACTTTGGACATATTTTGACATTTTATTTTCGCAAAAGTTATTTGAAATATGAAACTAGACACTTCAGTTGCATTTAACAAGTTTTTTATGTATTTAAAATTACTTTGTAAATTTAAATAAATTTAAATCAAAATGGTAACGTCTTGTCTTTGACCCACAACAAATATAATAATAATGGCCTAATGGTTAGAGAGTCGGACTCATAACCCAAAGGTTGTGGGTTCGAGTCTCGTACCGGCAGGGATTGTAGGTGGGGGGAGTGAATGTACAGCGCTCTCTTCCACCTTCAATACCACGACTGAGGTGCCCTTGAGCAAGGCACCGAACCCCCAACTGCTCCCCGGGCGCCGCAGCATAAATGGCTGCCCACTGCTCCGGGTGTGTGTTCACGGTGTGTGTGTGTTCACTGCTGTGTGTGTGCACTTTGGATGGGATAAATGCAGAGCACTAATTCCGAGTATGGGTCACCATACTCGGCCACATGTCATGTCATGTCACTTTCACTTTCAAAATTATTATAATAATATATAATATAAAATATGTGCTATAATATAATATTTATATGTTATTTGTAAAACTATACTTATCTTTTTTATTTATTTATTTATGCTGTTTAGTGACTGAAAGTGACAGTAAAAAAAGCCTAAAAATAAGTGTAGGAAAATATTCACCCCAGCATTCAGAAAATAGTCTGTTTTTTGTGTGATGCTTCTGTTTCGTTGGCTGTTCTTTGTGAACTTTGGGCTTCTATCCGCTCTAATGACAGCAGTCTTACGGGAATCTATAAATACTCGACTATATTAAAACAAGCATTAAGTTAAATAACCAGATCTAACCAGAGATCGCATGTGAGTTTGCTAAAAAATAATTTTACAAAATGTATTTTTAAGGCTTCTCAGTTAATGTGATCATTTAGGATATTAATGAAATAGATAATATTTTTTACGATAATATTTTAACAGTTTGCTTCAGGACAATGACATCATAAAAGCAAATTGTTTATTAATTAATTAATTTTGGGAATAATTTAATTTTGTTGTCTTTAATATTATATTTTTCTCAAACAGTATAAGGCAGTTTTCATAAATGAAAATGTATAGCTGCCTGTATATTATAGGAAAGGGTTTCCTTGCAAGGGAATCGTCATATTTATGGTCCTTAGCACTGAATAGTTTGAAAAACCCTGTTGGTTAACATGATCCAGCGGCCTGCGTGATGTCAGAGGAAGACACAAAACAAGTTTTGTTTACATTATTAAAGCATGCACCAAAGATTCGTTCACAATAAATCCAGAACCACGCATTAGGAAAGTAAACAGTGTGCGTTTGCTTGAGTGTGTTTTGTTGTCATGCAGTTCTGAGATGAGTTGGTTTAGCTGTGGTACTCACAGTTACTGTGGATTCACACTCCTGCTTCCGGCTGGGTGATGTCGAGACGGGACTCTGACAGAAGACACAAAACTGAGCGTCAGACATCATCGTGCTCTGAGCTGTGAGCTGCCATCTCCACCCTGAGCTCATCAGGACAAACCCAAGGAGAAAAGTGCCTTGGTTCTCGTGTGTTTGGGTTTCATACAGATGATGATATCTGCTGCACCTTTAGTAAAGGCTCACTGAAGGTGAAGTGTGTCACTGCAACACTCCCCCTGTCTTCCATTGGCGGGATGGACAGATAGTCCCGCCCCCAAACCCATGTCATTGGTGGAGCTGATGTTGCTGTGTCGACGGGATGCGAAGTTTTGAGAGCAGCACACGGGTGTTTTTGGGAAAATCAGTTCGACATACAAAGCCAGACCTTTGACTAACAGCATATGTGCATTACAGCTGATTCCGGTCAAAAACGCCACTTAAACAGAAAGAAAACGCCTGACCCATCCGTAGAGCACCTCAGCAATGACAGACTGGCGTGGGAAAAACAACATTTAAATAACACTGTAATACGTGCTGATTATTTCACTGACAAACATTTGGAATAATTAATGTTTTGGAAAAAAGTCTCTTCTGCTCACCAAGGCTGCGTTTATTTGATCAAAAATACAGTAAAAACTTTGAAATATTATTACAATTTAAAATATCTGTTTTCTATGTGAATATGTGTTAAACTGTAATTTATTCCTGTGATCAAAGCTGTATTTTCAGCATAATTACTCCAGTGTCACATGATCTTCAGAAATCATTCTAATATGCTGATTATTAGAAACATTTCTGATTATTACACAGTTGTGCTGCACAATATTTTTGCGGAAATCGTGATTCATTTTATTTTTCAGGATTCACAGATGAACAGAAAGTTCAAAATAACAGCATTGATTTGAAACAGAAACATTATTAATGTCACTTTTGATAAAGTAGAATAATCAGCTCTGATCATGGATATCTAGTTTAATTGCTACAAACTGCCTCAAAAACACCCTGATCTTTCAAAGAACTTAAACTGGATGAAAGACGTTCAGGTTCTTCCTGAAATCATTCCTCATTTCATCATTCTATACGTTACATGTGACATACGATACGTTACATACATTACAACTCGTTTCCTGTCGGACTGATAACAAGCACCAGTGCATCAAATCAGATTAGAGTTTGGTAGACTGAGAAAATGCTTTATAATCCCTACAAAACATCGTATCAATAATATGTTGAATCATCACTGAATCAATATGCAATACATTTCTCAGCTTGAATCTCCAGCGAATTTTGATACAGATGGAGAGGCGTATTAAAATGACTTGTGGATACTGAAGTTATTGGATTAAATCAGATTTCTAGTCCTGGGGAATATTGCATAATGAATAATGAGGACTAGTCCATATGTGAGAGATCAGCTGTACCTGATGATCTGTGCTGGTCTTCCGCATCAGTACATGCGACGGCTCAGTCTGATGCAACGGGCTGCCATTGCCATGAAATCCATTCACTGGAGAGGAAGGAAACACTCAGATGAGTTTGATTTAGAGCCAGGAGAGATCTACTTTACGTTTTTAACTAATATACCATTGAGTCCATAATCCATAATAACGCTTCCTCCAGTGAAAAAGTGTTCTGGTCTGAATCAGGAGAGAAATCTGCACAGATCAAGCAGCGTTTAAACAGCTCTAAACACATATGTGGCTGGATTCTGATGTGAGAGACAACAGCAGATGCACTTTTTCACTGGAGGAAGAGTTATTATGGATTATGGACTCTATGTATTTTAGTTAAAAACGTCTTAATGCTGGATTAGTTTCAGCTTTTGTCTTCTCCAGATGTTAACTGATGGACTGGAGTGCTGTGGATTACTTGTGGATTATTGTGATGTTTTTATCAGCTGTTTGGACTCTCACTCTGACGGCACCCATTCACTGCAGAGCATCCATTGCTGAGACACTGATGCAGTGCTACATTTCTACAAACCTGATGAAGAAACAAACTCATCCTGATCTCAGATGAACTGAGAGTGAGCACATTTACAGACAATTTTGAGTTGATCTATTCCTTTAATATAACCTGAATGATCAAAACTATAAATATACATGTTGTTGTTGTTGTTGATATCCGCTGCAGTGAGATTCCCGCAGACTGTCCGTGAGTGTCCAGTGTTCCAAACACAGATAAAACTGAACCACAGGGAATCTGTAATCAGAGGCTGCTGTGGTTTCTCCGCCGTCCAGATAAAACGCCTCTGGCTAAAAGCTCGGACAGTCAATGCTCTCCATTCAGTCTGGACTCATCTTCCACGTCTTTTCATTTCCACTATTTATGATAGCTATCAGAAAACAGCAGTTTTACTTTGGCACTGAGGAAGGTCATGTTGTCACTGAAAAGTTTTTTTTTTTGTTTTTTTGCATTGGCCTATTTTGGCAGTTTTGCACCAATGTCAGTTTAAACATCACACATCTCTACGAGCTGATTTGTATATCTGCAGGTGAGTTTCGTACCTGTCGGGACAGAGTTCTTGTGTTTCGCGGGTGTTTTCGGGGTGCCAGGCGTGCTCGACGGCCGCTCCCATGTTGTCTCTGAAAAACAAGAGCAAAGTCAAGCCATTTCCTGTTAATTACATCATCTGTTTTCTTCTGTAGGCAGGTAATGCTGCTCAATAAACGCCACATCAGTAATAACTTAATGCACAAAGCTCTCACAGCGGCCGGATCAGATATTCACAAACACACCAATCAATCCTCCCAAAAACCAGTTTCAGGAACGATCGAGAGAGATTTACTAAAAACCTGTTTTGAGCAAGTCTCCCTTGTGCCATTTTTGGTAATTTTATTTGCAGTGAATCAAATCATACATCATTTGCTGTAATAATAACTGTATTTCTCCTTCAAAAGTTACATACCATTACCAGGTAAACTGCATACATACATAACCAGCCTCAACTTTCGGTAATAATGACTATTATATTATTCCTCTGATTTAACACTAAGGATTTCAGTTCAATTCAAATGACATGAATTGAGAACAGATCGAATTCAGAGGCATTTAATGTGAAGATGAAAATATTCTACATTAGACAAAGCTTCATAAATACAGCATTGCTCAGAATGTTTTCTTAATAAAGTGCAATGCATGCATCCGATTAGATGTATCGTCTTCATTGATACAGAACTGCATTTTGAGTAATCGTAACATGCGTCCTCTGTGCATATGCAATCATGAAGTAAGTTCAGAAACAGCCTGATTGAGCTACGGCTATGAAACAGAGAAGCCGGTTACTAAGCAACAAGCATCTGAGAAGCTGATTAGCCTAATTATTTACTTCAGACGAGCGCCGAGCGAGCATTTGGATGCGGGACTGGGCTCGACATCTACTGTATTGTAGTAGTTTGTGCTGAGCAACGACTGATCTTCCGGCCAGAACGGGACTGTGTCATGCTCCTCCAATCTGTGACCAATGTCGTGTCTCTGAGCGATGAATAATGGCCTAGTTCTGAGTTCTGTAGTCCATCTTTAATTTACCACCATCTGTATCAGCTCTGCTGTTCCTCCAGCTACTGCGCGAGTCATGAGTGTTGAATCAAACAATTAGGAAACTAATGTCATCTTAGTACACGCAATAAGCAGCACATACAAACTACTGGCATCGAATTCAGTCCGAGTAGTCCAAATGATCTGAACCTGAGGTTTAACTTCAGTTTCTTTGTGTTTTTATCCCATGGCAGAAACAAGCTCTCATACTAATGCCACAGAAATGTATACATTTTTAAAGTTTAGCTTCCTTTTCTTCGTCCCTCTCATATAGTCTAGCTATCTCTTTTAGATCTCAGTGGGGTTCCTGAACTCTCCACCTGCAGGTTAGTGAGGTTGATCTGAAACGAGCGGTTTAATTATTAATTTATTTATTTATATTCATGTGTGTTCCCCAGCAGAAAACACATTCACCAAACCACAGCTGAGAAGAGGAAGGAAACCACACACACACACACACACACACGTTACCATGACGATCACACAACACAACAAGCCTCTGCTTCATCCACGTGAACTTCAGCACAAACTACAAATCAAGCTAAAAACAGGGAGCTTAAAAGACTCTTGCGCTGTTTAACTGGTTCTGTGTTTGTGTGAGACAGACTGTGTGTGAATGAGTAACGAACCCAGAGAAGCTCATAACATCCTAATAATCATTAATCAGGCTGCACTGGATCTGGATGGTGTGACGAAATGCCGGTGGATTCCAGTTTCTCTTACTCACACAGTTTGTAGGATTATTATAGTTGGTTGGTCAGAAGATTGATTTGTTATCTTGCTTTGACAACTCGTGTGCTCCCTCTAATTTAGCTTGAGAAATAACGAGGAGCGAATGTCGCTGCCCACTTCATAGGTGGAGTTGGGCTGTTTTAGGTGTTAACGGAAACCATAAGTCAGAAAATTCATTATGAGAAGATGAATGTGTTCATTATTAAATGTCAAGAACCTAAATGTGAATCTTCAAATCTTTAAATCAGTGTTCCAGAGTCTTCAGAGTCTTCCACTCGGTTTGGTAGTAATACAATAATTACATTAAAAAAAAGAGTAATTGCTAGTAAATTCGACAAATAATTACAGAGAAACTGCAAGGAGCACAAACAATTAAACATGACATTTTGAAGCTGAAAGACAAATTATTTTCTTAAGAAACTTTTTGTTTTTAAATTTCAAAATATGTTTTTTTACTGTGTTGCATTGAAATGTAAAAAAAAAAATATAAATGATATTTGATTAAAAAAGTAAAAAAAAAAAAGATTTACATTTTTGTTTATATATATATATATATATATATATATATAAACGAC